CTCTGTAATACACAGAGAATGATAAAAGATCAAAGTTTTAATTGTGCAAGTAAAAGAATGTATTAATAACATTCTTTCTGTCCTACAGCTGCAGAGATAAACTTAAAAAAACCTCTAACAGCTAGTAGAACAGGATATTTATATAAAGATGTCCTAACAAAAGAAAAGCATGCAAAACTACCTCTAGTGGATAAACAAACTAAGCTCCCTGTTTGCAGACTGTTCCGTATCGAGCTCAGCCTTCAGACATCCCCTCCCTCCCTCAGTCAACAGGGTCAACATATCTCAGCTGGGTTTCACATTTTTATACAAACCCTTCTCAGCATCCTTTGTTCACTGACCCTTTAAATTTAGGAAAATGCAGCAGGTGTGCCTTTAGGGCCCATTTTGCTGCTAGTTGCTTTAGATTCCCACTTCCAGGTACTAAGTCATTTAAGAAGGGGTTTTTTTGTTGGTCTTTTTTCTTGCTAGCTCCTTCTTCGTCTGCATAGGCTGCACTGCGTATCCACCATATCCCTTTCAATACACAGGACGCTAGTTCTGCAGCATACATATAAAAACACAAAAATGTCTCCTCCTCAGGAGGAGGAGGATTACGACTTCTTGGCTTTCTGAGGTTGGGAAAAGCCTGAATTTGTAGCCTGTTTGTCACACTGCTGCCGCTCATTAATGCAACAGCATACTTTGAACTAGCTGTCCTTCTCCCCCCCAAAATTAATACAGCATGGAGTGCTCCCTCCCTCCCAAGACAGCAGTAGCTGCCTTTATCCACTTAGGGCTCCAACTTGCATACACTGAAGAGAAAAAAAACAAACAAAAACACCCCAAACCAACCCACAACTGTACTAATTTAAAAAACTAGGACTCCCAAATGTGATGACTATGCTATCTCACTGAAAGTAAGATCAATAGCATGCTGTACAAGATTTATCAGTAGTTTTCTTGGAAATTCAAAGCTCTGAGATGAGTTCTGAAATAACATTGTCAAGTAAAGCATCATTACCACCTCTACGTGAACAGAGGCCACCACAAGCAGAAAGCCTGAGTTGTCTCAGAAAAGTCTAAGAGGCAACACAGAGGACAAGCTTACTCAGGGCTACCTGCACAGCAAAGACTGACTTTTGAAAGTGACTCTCAGTCTCCTTTCAAGACATCTATGAATTATAAAGAGCTAGTCGTCCTCCATCCCCTTTGTCTTTAAGGAAGAGTTTAATATTAATTTTAGCTCCTTCTGAATCTACTTCTGGGCTAAGGCCCAGTCCATCTGCAATATTTTTAAAAGTGACAAATTAGATTAAAAACACACAGAACACCCACTCAGGACTCACTCAGTTCTTCCAAACTATGGCAACTCATGACAGAAGGGACACTATAGTTAACCGTGGCACTGCTTGTGCAAAGTTGCAACCTGCACACAGAGAGACACGCAGAGGGTGAACTCACTGTACAGCGAGCTATTGTACACAGGGAAAACTGGACAAGGCACTTCCTTTTCTTTTGTGTTGTCCTCTCATTCATCATAATGTCCTTTAAGACATCTGCTAGAGTCCTGTAACACTAATGGAAATGGAAAAGCTCCAACGGGAACTCAGGGGTTTCTCTCTTTTTCCCATGAACTGAACATTATGGAATTTTAACAGATGTTCTACTTGGTCATAGTTAATAAAATGAATTATGCAGGAATTAAAAATCTGGCTCCATTTGCTTATATAAGATCTCAGCAGCAGAACTACATTCCCATTAAGAAATTCTAGAGGATTTACAGTGGATTTATAGTCTGCTTCTACCTTGTTACAAGACGGCTGGAGATTATACAAATGAACTTGTCTCTGTTGTGGAAAACATGAATAAATTTACCTGTTCATTGACTGTTCTTAGTAGCATGATCCAATTTCCATATCGATGCACACTGGTACACTACAACCATAGGAAAGGACAATCCTCACTTGGATTTGCTTTGGAAATGACATCATGGGAATTCCACAGCCTCCGATTTCTGCCATTTATTCAAAGTCTCATTCAGCAACCTAATAACCATACTCCCACTTTGTGCTTTATCACAAAAGCTTTCCTCTTGAAGCATGGCAGTCTCTTTCGGGCTACTGCTGCCAACAGAATGATGCACTGTACCTCACTTCCCTTTCGATTTTAGGATTAGTTCAGTGTAACTACATCAAAGGAAGATGTAAAGACCAAAATGTAATGGAGATGTGAGAGAAGAGGCACCAAAAAGGAGGTAGGTGAAAGAGTCATAGCCAAAACTTCCAAGCATTGAGGTTCACTCAAAGAAAGTTATTTCCAAAAGCATTACATATTTAGCCATCTTCTTTCTCTTCTAATGTTCATCTGTACAGAAAGTATTCCAATGAGAAGATAAAGGGGATAAGTGAAAGAGTGAAATCAAAAATGAAGGATTAAACAACTACCTTGCACCAGAACAAAAGCAGCACAGCAGCTAATGCAAATTACACGGAGCAGAATAAGGCTGTCTTGAAAACATCTACTATGCTACAGTAAAAAGACGAGGTTTTAACATTGCACTCCCTTTATAATCAGACTCATTTTCACTTAAGCCCAAGCAATTGGCAAGCAGATCTCTGTCCAGGCACTGAAATCTGCTTTATGTAATAAACAAAATTTTATCCCGATGCAACAACTAAAATTAACCTTTCTCAAATTCTGGCTCAATAATTTTGCTGGTGCAAGAATATCATCATCTGAAAAGGATCAATATTCCCAGCCTCCTCCAAATATTTTTTTTTTAAAAATGAAAAATCATGCATTGAAGCCCCTCTATCCAAAAATCTCACTCCACTGTAACTAAACAAAGGGCTTTGTGTAAGTAAAGAACCAAAGCATGTAAACAAACTCTATCAGTGTAAAAGTCAGCTGAAATTAAATTTCAGTCTATATATGCTATGCAGCTACCTGGGTGCATCCAATAATGAATTAATACAGATTTTTATCTGAAAATAGAGATTTTCCCTAAAGGAAGAAGTGTACTTAGAGAAGGAAGAATACCAAGATTAAATGTCAGGCTTACAGCAGTTCCAGCTGAAGGTTCAGTATGCTGTTCTTACTCGAGTGGATATTGCTTTATAATATTTAGTGTCAGAAAAATGCAATGATCTTAACAGTGTTAAATTCAAAGATATTTTTTTTTTTTTAAACATCACCTATGATTTGTTTCATTTTGAAGAGAAAGCACATTTCATTTGGTAATCATTTATTTCTCATTCTATCGGACAGATTCTCCCAAAAAGCAATACTTCAACTGAAATCAGTTCTGAGGGATCTTTCATGAATATACATAATGGAGAGGACCCCCATTAAATTTCCAACAAAGTGCTGCCATTTTGAGTAAACAAAGTTATCTCAGCAGGGTCACACACTATGCCATGAATATGGTCTGCAAATTAATTACCACCCTGACATATGTCAAAACAAATTTTAAGGAGAATAGCACCCAGTAGTAACCATGTGTTTTATCTATCTGTTAGTATGCAAAATCCGTATTCAATGGGATCTAAATTTATTCATTTATTCAGAACCCCTCAGAGAAATCAAAATGATTCGTTGGCCTTTTTTGCCCATCTCCAAATGAAATCTGAGTGAATAACATGTGTTTAGTGAGCCAGAAAATAAGTACAGGATGAAGCTATGGTGGGGGTTACGTTTCAGAAAAGCAGGTGTCCTCTCTGCACAAATAACTAATTTTTTAAACACTCAAAACTGCTAGAATAGACTGCAGTGCATTATCATTTGTCAGCACTTTAAGGAACACTACATTTGGTATTTCTTATTTTAGGTAATATCCATCTTTATTCCGTAACTGTAACAAGAGCTGGCTAACATAACTGTCCTAAAAACAGTTTTCAGCACGAAGGCAGGCTTTTAAAAGCAGAGCTATTGAATGAAGGCTTAAAAAGCCTCTGCAAGTGGCTTTATTATCAATGACAACACAGCCAACAGATCTGATCCTGTGTTTAAAAAAAACAAAGAAGCAAAGATCCAAACCTAGTTTACTCAGTTGAGTTATATAAGGAGAGGACAAACCCACACATATCACATTGAACACAGTAAGTAAAGAACCCTTCCTGGACAATAGCTGTTATGTTTTCATAGGAATTGAGCCTTGTCTCTTTATTTGAGGTTCTCATGGTGCAACTTCTGCTTTGTCAAAAGATTACCTCCTGGGATCTGATTCTGAAACAGTTTTAGACTGGGAGTACATCAGTATGGTTTTCTGCTTCTTTTATAATCTGCCTTCAGTTCACACAACATATCAAACGCTTCCATGACGCTAATCCTGTAATTCACAGTACGTTTATGAAGAGATTTTAGCTAAGGCACTATTTTCTGCCAAGCAGGCCAAAATATTTTTAGCTCCAGTTTTTTTCCAACAGTGAAGTACTTCTGATTTAGAGTTAAGTAATGCCATATCACATCTACAGACTGGATGACTAAATGCATTTCTTTCATGCATTTTTAAAAAAAAAATTAAAAAAAAGAGAGAGAGCACAATTCTCCCTATATACAGATGACAGATAATCTCTTGGCATCTGCTGACAAATATATTTAAAGAAAGCCTAAATCTCTCTGTGCCAAACTTGGCCTGATGCCACCAGTTCACCATTGTTGGCATACATACTTCACATGATGCAACCACAAGACTTGAGGAAGTTTCCAGTGCTTTATTTTATGGTTTTCATCACGTTAACATACACATTTCCATCCTTTTATGATTTAGCAGCAACAGAACTGAGAGACAGTATGGTAGATGACTTTTTGCATGTATCACAGGTTTTCTTAGTGTACATTATCAGTATTCTATGTAAATTACAGACTAGTAACTTACCTAGAATGAAACACACTAGGATTTAGAGCTTATGGTTAGAGCAATTGATCTCAATATCTCAATTGTACTACTATCTTGTTAGAAAACAAAGAGAGGCAAAGGAATCAATTAAAAAAAAAAAAGCGAAAGACAAGTGGTTTACCTCTCTTAATACTGTGCTTTTATAACCCCGATAAAGTCCTTGAATACCCTGTAAACCAACAAAAGAAAGCATCAGCTATAGGGAATTAGTTTGCCAAAGACAATTTATCAGTGATTACGAGGCAAGCATTACAGACTTATTCAGTGTCAGACCTGAACTCCTTGCAAATTGACTATATTGATTATAGTATTGTATACTGTATTCTATGACTTAAAATGCCAGAGGGCTTTATGTTCATTTCAAAGATCATTTAACCACTGTTGAGAATAATCAGTTATAGAGAAGAAAATATACCTTACAGTTAAAATTAAAAGGGCAAGAAGGCACAGAAACACATTGCTTCAAACTCTACTTGCCCAATATTTTGGTCTAGAAGTATCCACTATCCCGTAAATATTTTGAAACTATTAGTCTTCTGTTTAAATAGCCTATGCAAAATGAACCCATAGGATGACAGCTTCCTATGTCCACCTTCTTAGCCTTGATTGAGACCTTTTATCAAGACAAATATTTTGGATTTTTAACCAGCTGATAACATTCAAAACAATTAAAATTTTTTTGTAAGTGTATATAAAATTATGTTTAATAACTTATAGGCCAGTTTATTCCAGTGTTTGGCAAGTCTTATGGTTCTCTGGCCAGCTACAAAGAAGGGGAAAAGCATACGGTTTTGAGAGCACCAGCTTTTAGAGCAGAATGACCAAGTCATAGAAAGAAGTTCCAGCGACCCTCTTGTGCAGGGTTATCACAATAGTTTTCATTTACAAGCAAATAAAAATCAAGTGGATCATTTAAAGGTCATATTTATGTCTTCCTTTTCCTGGCTTTTACACATGGAAATGTGTGTAATATTTTTCCCCACAGTGTTTTCAGGAGCCACTTTCTCTTGTGGAATACAACTTGAAAAACGCCCCTTGTGAGATTCAGTAAGAACAGTGATGAACAGGATAACTACTGAAAAGATGACAAAAGCCCTTATTTTTCAAAAGTTACCAATACTGGATGAACACTTATCTCCAGAGCTCCCTCAGAGCCTCTCTGAAATGGTGCTTTTAGGACATCCCCTCCAAAGCAGGCTTCAAAAACTGGAAACCGTTCAGCAAACTCTAGATACTGAGACTCAGTGTTCTGCTGGCCCAGACAAGGACTGTTTGCATAAATACAAGCAGAGCTTTGGAAACTGTAAAGCTAAATCCTTTTTTTTTTTTTAAATGTAGGTACCCCATATAAAAAGAGGAGGAAAAAGAGTTGTTTAGAGTGTGCATGTAAGTGCATGCACATGGGGGAGGTGGGGGTTTGGTTTCCTTAAACATAACATGCCAATCGCTTTTAACAATAGAAGAATAGATGGGAAACTGCTGGGAGAGGACAGAACTGGAATAAAGTCGTAGGAATGCTTCTGGACATGTATAGCACCGAGTGGGAAGAATGAAGCAACTTCTTTGAAATTTTGCTCTGAACTCACCTCATGATACAAGGTGTGGGAGAGAATCCGGAGGGTACTCGAGGAAGGAGAAACCTGGGCCCTTTGCTTGACAACCTCAGATGGAACCCGTATGAGGCATGCAACCTGCAAAAGAACCATACATCGAGAGAGCAATTCATTTTGCTGCTTTACTCTTCATATAGCAGGCACATTTGGAGATTGTTCCAAGTACAGAAACTTGAGAAACGAGGAAATAATTTTTGTAATTATATGAGCTGAACTTAAAAGCTGTCTATGAGCAGCTTATGTATTTGGTCTAAGAGCTAGGTACTTTCTGAACACAAAACTGTACTAACAGAAAAATGGAAGTACCCTTGCAATTTTTAACTTCCAAACCAGAAGTAGATCCGGGTGGGGAAAATCACCAATGAAACCAAAATTTTTAAACCATCCTGTTCTTTTGGCAGCCACAGGAATTTTTCCCCCCACTTTCACAGATCTGAACTGGAGAGTCAGGACTTGAAGAACAACAAACTTCTTTCCTAGGTAGTTCCTTTGTGCCCTCTAGTGGCTGACAGCAAGAGACACTGTGGTTAGCTTTAGATGCACACAATATATTCAAGGTTTACCTTAAAACACACACTGGACTCCATTCAAGTTGAAGCATTGGATTGATTCTTTCCTACACAATGAATTTACTAGGCAAGACAGGCCCCCGCAGCTGGATGTAATAATGTGGCTGCTGCCACAAAGCTCCAGCTTTTCTGAAAAAGCCAGACCTGGCTTTAAAATGTTTACCTGCCACTACAACTTCAGGTAGGAGTTAAGCTTGTGTGCACATAATTTCAAGGAATGAGGATCCTGAAGTGTCAGAGAGTTACAAGCCTCTCATCTCTCTAGAAAATGCCTGTTTATCAGCACTTAAACTTTTAAGAAGAGTTTGTCTTCAGTTGGCCCCAGAGATACTTAAAGCAGTGGTGGGACTGGTGGCAAAACACTGGAGACACCACAGGCCCTGACCAGATTTTTAGCCTTCCTCAGTCCCATCCTGTGCCAGGCTCAGGAACACACTGCGATGAACCTGGTCCCTAGACATAAAGATGATCACTCACCATAAAGGTGAGTACTTCAAGTCAAGAGCAACCTAGGTGAAAGCTGTCCATCTGAAGTGGCAAACCAAGCTGCTAACTCAGAAACTCACATGTGCCAAAGAGAGTTTAAGTCCAGGAATTCACTACCAGATTGCACAGAGACAGTAACTTGAGTGGTCATTTGTGGGTAACACAGTACAGGGTTTAAGTTCCATTTTCACGAAGAGACCAAGAAAAAGTCCATTATCCTGTTACATTCCTACAAGTTTACCAGACAACAATATCCAAAAGTCATTACAAACAGATCTAACTCCATGTGCTCTTCAATTCTCAGGGTCAAAAATAACAAGTGACCCCAATCTGTCAAGAAAATAAGAACTGTCAAGTTTTTTGATAGTTCAGCATAAATACTTATAGAACTTCATGCTTCATAACACTCCATGTCCTTATATTAGCTTTTTATTCCTTAAAAATATGGAGGCAGGAGGAAAGCTTTAAAAAGGCTCGGATGAAAACAATCTAGTCAATCAAGACCAGACAAAGAGCACAGCATGGCTTCCTGACATCTGGGGTGCTGCAGTTTTGGCAGGAGAAGGGTGGCTACAAAGTAATGTCTCCATTTCCCCCAGACTACTTGGGGTGCATTTCATTTCAAATTAACTTTGATGTTTCTCCCATTTGAATTTGCGCTTACAAGGGAATCTGTGGCTGCACAAGAACAAAAAGAGTGATTACATTGTGCTGTTATGAAAAGAAATAAAGGCTCTTGTCACCTGGGCTGCGCTGTCATATTGGCTCCACAGGGCACTTATGGTGCCACGAGCTGCAACTGGTGCCACTAAAAAAGCCACGAGCTGCAACTGCCAACTTCAGACAGAACAGTGACATTTTTGCTGTACACCTGAACTTACAATGTGTTACCTTATTTGTTCCTGCATGTGTACCTTACTATCAATAACAATCCAAGCAGTCTTCTGATGTCAATCAAACACAGGTCTCTAAAGGGAAGTATGCAAGATTAAGTTCACATGTGTCTTATTAGCTCACAAGGTTAAAAAAAAGTAACAACCTGGGACAGATGGGTGCAGAAAAATCTCAAATCTATTACGCTCAGATCTCAATCACTGCAGCGCCTTCCAGGTAATGCTGCCAAAGTTAAAAGAACACAACGCACATCTCCACAGTTTGCTTTCTTAGCTAAATACGTTCAAGCAGCACCAGCATGATAACACCGCACCAACAGAAATCATACGTAAATTTTCAGACATCTGAGAGCTATAAGCAAATTGCACGAGCAAGGGTGAAAGATATAATTGTGTGGCTGCTCCACAGTAACTGTCCACGTATATGCTTTTACCTGCATCAACTACCAGATAAATAGACATGGAAGACAGACAATAATGTGACCTCGCATGGTGGGAGCCCATTCACCTCCCTAATCACCAAGATCCCAGGAAGAAATTGCTTTTTAATCTCTGGGCTGTTCACATAGATGTAGCCTGTTGCTTGCCACAGAAGAGTACAACACAGCCTGGCAAACTCAGGCCATTCCTGGTGCATCCTACTGGTTTTGGAGATGACCCTGTGATGAATTAGCTCTCTGTCGAACATCTGCATAGCCAGCCATGGAGAGGGTACAGCAGTGGGCCCTCAGCTACCTCGGCTGAGATTAAGGCACCAGACAACACCACCCTGTTGATAGGGGCCACAATCATTTTTCCAAGCAAGCTCTGGAGCCAAGAGTTATTCCCATCTTTTGACAGGAGCAGAAAGACAGACTCAAGATCCTACAGACCAAGTTCAGGGGAAAAATGGGTGCTGCCCTATAAGCTCCTTCCTTATTTACCAGGTCGAGTAATACAATTCTCCAGTTTTCAGACTCTCTCTCCCATGTCAATGCACGTGTATACATACCATAAGAGCAGGAAGACAATAGCACTGAAACAAAAGGCTAAAGGGTTTTTACATTTAAGCTTTAACAAAATCCGATTTTATAGCTACAAGCAAAGCTATTATTAGTTTACAGAACAGGTATGCAGAAGTGACAATATTAGCATCTACTACCTTTCTAGCCTTTTAATACTATAACCACTTCTAAACAAGAGTACGGAATTTCAAAATCCTTGTCTTAAATCATTACCAGGTCAAAGGGTGACTCCAGTATTTAGACGCAAACCTAAGTGCATTTTTAATTTACTGACTTGCATTAGTCAGTTAAGGACAAAAGCTAAAAATAGGACTATTTTGTTATCATTTATCTATGTATTGCTAAGACAGTATATTTTCCAATTAAATGAAGGTAATTTTTTTTCCTCTCAGTTCAGGGAAAAGTGTTTTAACTTTTGGATACTCCTTGCATGCATCAATGCTGCCATCTCCTGGTCGGATTCATGTTGGAACCAGACTTTCCCGCTTGTTCTGACCGATGTCTTGACCAGTGCAATTAAAGTCTCAAAAGTGCCTTAAAGTCAACACAAAGCTTCCTTATATATACCAATTTAAACAGTTTGTTTCAGTATAATCTGAAACCTGTTCCTACGTGGCTGTAGCTGACAGAAAATAAGATCTGCCGCAGACAGCACCAGGAACCTGCACAAAGCCTTTTGCATGGGCTCCCCTAAGTTTATTGGAAACACCTTATCTTAAAGCCCTAACTTCTGCATAGGGGCCAATCCTACTTCAAGCTGGAGCAGCTGTTCAGAATTAGGCAGTAGTCATCTAATTCATCAGCACAAGGCTACCAAGCATTTTTCTCTAGACAGTAACACAAGACATATAATAAAAAAGAACAAAGAGGGGATAACCCTGCTTACAAGGGGATTCAGTTGCAAGTAAGTCATCCAGGCCTTGATGATTCAATAGCCAGGGAACTGCAAAAGCTGCAAGACATACACAGCTCACTGCTCATCCAGGGAAACCTGCAGCAAACGCAGCCTACCGTAAAAATGGCTGAAGAAAACTCCCAACTAAAAGGCGATTTTTTTTTTTTAAATGATTTTGTAGTTAACGTGAAAAAGAATCTAAAGTAGCTGTTTGGACTAGAAAGAACCCATTACCATTGCCACTACAAATTCTGGAGTAAGCACTTATCTGCAAACCACCATAACACCACTTCTAGTTCACTAGCAGGTCCTTGCTCCTCTATCCAATACGTTCTGTTCTTTAGGCAAAGCCAAACATAAGACAATGACAACACCTTTAGAAAAGAGCACAACTCCTCCTGGTCTTCAGAGCTACATTATTATCCAAATATTAACATATCCCATTTAGATTAACAGCCTTTTGCTTCCATCCTTTGTGCTTCAGGCTAACTATTTTCTACATGACTGGTTTTGTAGGATTTAGTAGAGAATCAAAGATAACATGTGCATTTGTTTTTTAGGCACCTATATTACAGTTTGACCACTAGCCTTGCAGGCATGATCTGTGCAGGAGATGTATCCAGAAACATTTCAAATAGGACAGAGCAGGTGTTACAGTTACTATTAAGGGCTTACGCTGTGTATTTAAATTGGGTTGATGCATGGCAGGTTTTTCCTCGGAACTGGGGACACAGCTGGTACACCATTATTAGCAGCTTTGTGCCTCTAAGGAGAGCAGCTTGAGAAAGCATTTCCTTATGCAGCCTGGCATCTTCCACAGCTGATGATCTGACTCACACCTTAAAAGCTCCCACAACCCTCCCACAACCATACGGTCTGAGCCCTTCTTGTCTTTAGTAAGAGATAGATATTATCCATGCTCTTAAGACAGGCTACTGAAGGCAAAAGACTAAGAGTCCATTCTGTTAAGATGCTGGCACCTGATGTGCTCCTCGCTAACGAGCTGATCTATTCTCTGCACTGGCCTGGGCTTGGGTGACTATCAAGACCAAATTTTTTTCATTTAGTAATGAGCCAGCCATTCTGCTACATGGCAGGAGAAGAGTAATCTGAGGACAGAGAACTGTTCTGGAATACATCAGTGGCTGGTGATTTAGGAACCTGCACTCAGTGACTCCAAGCAAATCTCTAGCTTGCATGTCTAAGCCTGCTTTGAAAACTGGGTACAGAA